AGTAGTAGTAGTAGTAGTAGTAGTAGTAGTAGTAGTAGTAGTAGTAGTAGTAGTAGTAGTAGTAGTAGTAGTAGTAGTAGTAGTAGTAGTAGTAGCAGCGTAGCACTCCCTTCAATTCCACCACTCAGTAATTACTTAATCATTTAATCAGTACTTTCAATCAGCCCAGTCACTCACTCACTCTTCCCAGCTTACCAGAATCTATCCTGCGTATGTATGTATGCATACATGCATACAACCATCCATATCTCCCCCATCCACCCATCCATCTACCAACAAACAGCCCCAACTAACCTGAAATCAATGCCATCAACACCCCCACCTCAAAATAAAAAGATCCGGTCCTGCTCAGGAAATAGTTAAAGGTATAACAAACATACATACATACATACATAACCATAACCATAACGATACTTCCTGATCATATCATGCGCCAATTGTGTAATTAGCCATTTAATTCAATTTCAATTAGCTTATTATCTAGCAACTTAAGAGACTACTTCTACTAGGTAAGTATAGAACTTTACGAAGTGTATCAAATTGCGTCACTGAACATGCACGCACTGTGTTATGTAGTAAAGTAAATAGTACTTAGTACCTAACAACTTACCTGCTAGTAATTTTGAAAACAGTTGGCTAGACACATTGATACTTTCACTCTCTATGTTTCTAATTCCATGGGACTAGGGTCTATTACTGTCATCTATGACGTTATTGCGGTGCGTGGTGGTGGTGGTGGTGGTGGTGGTGGTGGAAAGGAAAGAAGGAACTAAGTAAGCTAGCTAACTAACTACTGGGCAAGACGGGAAGTACGGAGGCTTTAGCTGACTTGACATCATCGTGCAGATCTGAGGCATCCACGGAGTTTAGTCCAAATGGTGCGGGAGGGGGAAGGAGGAGATTGATTAAATTGGCCTGTTACTAAATAATAATATACGAATAATTCGATGAGTAAATAGGGATCAGGGCATGTGTTCAATTGGTGTAGTTGCTGCCCAATGGCCCAATGCGTACTTTTGGCATGCCGTCTACATCATAGAGAGAAGGTACATCTTTGTGATTCCAGTCATAAGTACAGGTTGTTAGATAATCTGTAGATAATGAAAATACATCAAAACGAGGTTAAGGTAGATAGATGTAGGGAGCTGATGCTTCTAGATTGCGGGAAACCAGTATGACGCCCTCATTTTGGGCGACAGGAGAAGCCAAATGAGCTATCGACGTGAAGGGTAATTTGAAATCTCCTCAATGACATTATTAATATCAAAGCCTGTGAGGGAGCAGGCGAGTGAGGATGAGCGAGTAGTTAGTCTATGCACTGACTCTGATAGACTGACAGGGACTAAGAGAGCTAGCGTCCGCGGGCTTGAGGATCAGCGACGGCCTCATCAAGAATCCAAAACCACCGATGCGCTTCGCCCCTCCGATCTGCTGCTATTCATCGACTTTCAGCAGCCCCAGCAATTAGGCCAGGCGCAAGCGCTCACTGGTACCAAGTTATAGGTAGTCGGGCTCGGCTGCCGCATCGGAGACAATCATCTCACATCAGCCCCTGTTTTCGCCTTCCCATTGGTCATTCTTGGCAGGCCGTGTCTGTAGCGGATATCGTTTCCTGGGCCTGTAGAATCGCTTGCTTTTTGTTCTTCCATGGGCCTTTGCTTTTTCCCTACTACCAGTCTTCTCCCTTTTCGGGCTATGCTCTTTTGTGATCCCGGTCTTGCTGTCCACGGGCCCTAGCCAACTTCAAGAGACCCGAAATAGAAAGATTGATCTATGTTAGTGGTACAGCAGGGTATGAAGGACTTGGCCCAACAGTTGATTTGGTCTAAGAAGTAATGGTCCGACCACGACTGCACTACAGCTAAATGCAGGAGCCAGTCACTGTGTGTTGACTGTTTATGTCTCCCTATTCGGACTCGTCACGGATCGCTGTTGCCTGTGCTCAACCATGGTAGATAGAGTGATGCACGATCGGGTCATATCTTCTGTCATCACTGGATCGACAGCCGTGGTGCTAGCATATCAAATTATACTTCTGGATAATTTAACAAGGACGATCGACAGTCCCAGTAATTCTGCATGCTCTCTCGATATTTGGATGCTCTGCTGGCATGATCAAACCAGAAAAGCCAACCCATAAAACAAAATGCAAGGATGACCGATCTACTGAATCTTGGAGGGAGACAGCAAGAATCGGTTCCCTAATCTCGGCGATGGACCAGTGCATGGCTTGCCTTGTGGTATAATGTGACGATCGGAATTGATGCCAGAGTCTGTGAGCCTTCGTATTGAGCCCAAGCACCGTGAGGGCGATTATGCGTTTCACGCCATCGCATAATGTGCCATGCCATCCTTCTCCATGTTCATCCACTTGGCTCGTACTTGGTATGCTTTGTTGAACCGGGTAAAGATATTGAGCGAGAAGTATAGCCGCTGGTCCGATAGAGAACACTACCGGTCATGCCTTATATTTGGGAGTAACTCAGATGGAAGGCCGACCGTGGCAACAGTTGAACTCACGGTTGTAGCCGTACGAGCTGTGGATACCGACCGATGTCCAGAAGTGCATAATGGGGTCCTTCCCTGGATCGCATTCAACGAACTATCGTAGTAGAGCCGAAGGGTTCGCCGAGCAAGGTTTGCTGCACTCCCTGAAGGATGTAGTAATAAGGTCACTAGAGTCACAAGTCAGACAATGTTTATACCATCAACAGCCAACAACCGCAGATGTCACCGCAAAACACCGCAATCTCCTTTCATCTTAAGGGTGTATCGCAACCTACATTATACCGATTTCCCAATATATTCAAGCCATGGATGCTCTATATAGTCGGCACTCTGTGAAATAAATGAACGGGAAGGAAAGAAATAAAAGACAAAGGAAAATAAAGTGGAATATTACAGAGGGGACACCAAGTGGAGAAGGAGGCAATCGACTCAACCTGCCAAAGAACAGAATATAGCAGAGTATAAGGATGTTGACAGATATCCAAGATCTTTCTTTGTTTTCGTCCAATGACGTTGATGTTCTTCACCATCCTCCTCCTTCTCACTGCCCGATTGAGCGAGAATGCTGGTCAGAATTGGAGGGCTGGTGGCTGCGATCCTCGGCAGGAACAAATCGGGACATTGATTGATCGAGAGTTCTCGAAAGCTTCAAAAGCTTTTCCTGAAACATCTCGAGGGTCATCCAGCCATCTGGCCCCTGGACCCCGTCAGTCATTGGTTTCGTTATGTCGTTGGTCATAGTTCCGGATGAGACTGATAAAGATCGCGCGCTGCCAATTCCTGGATTACGAACTGGTTCGGGTGGATCGTCATCTGTGTTATCTAGTCAATTAAATCTTCCACCATCCCGACTGCATGTTGCTAAAAACCAACAAAATACCTGGCGGGGCATGTAGTAGAATAGCAAGAGAAATCAACAGAGGGGTGGGGGATCTCACGGAAATGTGACGGTGTTTCTGTTGAAGGTGATAATGTCATTGCTCGTTCCTCTGGCGGTGGGGTAAAATAGCTCATATCGGAGGGAGTTTCTGGCGACTAACATGAGTAATTGCAGCACTAGGGGCGGATTGGGAGCATCCTACCTGGTTCGGGACTTGTTGCCTGGATCGGCTGGACGGGCTGGACGGGCTGGATGATCTGATGGCCCTGAGGACTGTGCGGAGGGTCCTCGCGGGAATTATTGGCCTCCATGTTCGATCCATATCTACGGACAAAGCGTGAGATGCGTTTGGAGTCGACTTCCTGCCCAGCAACACGAAAACCTGTTTGCTTGCCTCGGGCCGCTCGTTTCTGTTGCTTTCGGATCATGACATGGACTTCTTTGGCCTTGATATTCTTGCGGACATGCCATGCAGCCAGGCGATCTTTGTATTGTTTTTCTCTAGAAAGTTTGAATGTCAGGGGAAGCCTATAACCAAGCTGATTCGTCCAGGAGTGGGGAAGGGAAGGGAAATAAAAGAAAAAAGCAACATCAATAACAATGACGCACTGTCCTCTTCTTCCGCTTTTGGTGGTGAAAGGAAGAAACAGCATATTGCTGCAGAGGGACAAGCAATGCAAGCCAATAAGTGAGAAGAATGACAAATACGAGGGCGAGTGGGAAAGGCAAGAAACAGGGCAGGAATGGCAAATAAGAGAAATGGAGGCTGTACGATGCAACAAAGTTATAGTCACGCTCCATGATCCTCTTCACATCACGGAGCTTGAGTTGGTTGTCTCGGTAGAGACTCTCGATAGCCGTGCGATACTCATTCCAATCCTCTGATTTGCGGGGTCGGAAAACGGTTGATGAAGAGGAGGTTGGAATGGTAGTGATGGAGGAGGTGGTGGAGGTGGTCGTGGTGGACGGCGGCGGAATGGAACCATCCATCATGAATTAGTCACTGGATATTTCTCGTCAACCATACTCTGAATCGAAGCGGGACGTGCGAATCAGCTAGGCGGAAGCTCGATATCACAGCAGAGATCGGGAAGAGTAGTTGAAAAGAGAGTAAGGAAAAGGGTGAGAGGGAAGACGGGAGTAAAAAGTGGAGAGGCTAGATAGATAACTTGAGGAAAATAATAAGGTCGAAGATAAAAAAAAAAAGGCGAAGTAGGAGGGTGAAGTGGTTATTCAGACAGAAAGCCGTACGGAGAAGAGACGTCGTCAGGAGAGGGGGAATTGTGTCAGGGTAACCAGAAAGAGTAGTAAGTAGTAAGTAGATAACTAGACTAGCTAGCAGCGGCGGAGGCTGATGAAGCCAAAGGCAGCAGCAGGCGCGAAACAGGGTCGCGGTCTTACTAGCAGTTAGCTGGTGGGAGTAGATCGTGTTCTGCGGAGGGCGGGAATTGGTGGTGATATAGTTCGGGGGATTTCAGCGAGACCGAAAGAGTATGTAAGTAAGTAAAGTAATTTAGAAAAAAAAAGTAGTTGTTAGTTAGTTAGTTAGTCTTGACAGTTCTGTCAAGTCAAGTCAAGTCAAGCGCTGTCGAGTTGTCACAGTGTTCGACAACCGCCAGCCAAGGCGATAAAATCAATAGCGATAATCTTAGTCTGGAAAAATCAGTGGAAAAGAAAATAAGGAGTAGTAAGTAATGGCGACAGTAATAATAATGAATGATAATACTACCACAACTAAATAATAATAGCAACCATAACTATTACTCTTTGGCTGCTGCTGATGGGAAAAATAATTAGACTAATTGACGAGCCAGCAGCGGGTTAGTTAGTAGTACTACGGGGTATGCATGTCAGTAAGAGTAATGTACGTTGGCTGACCGGCCATCTGGATCCTTTCCTCCTAACCAAACGATGCCAACAAACAGGAGAAGACAGCAGCTTTGGAATGAAACATTCGGGAAGTAAAGTAAGCCATTGATTCCCTGTCCAATTGCGGAAATAGACGCAATTTTTTTTTTTTCGATTTTAACTCTGTTGGTTACAAGTTATGGGCGTAATGTGAGAGGAGGAGGGGGGGGAAGGGGAAGTAATGAGTATCATAAGAGAAAACACAGAAAACAGAAGGGTAAAATAAAACACAAAAAGGAAAGAGGAAAATAAAATACATCAAAACAAGTGCTAATTCGGGCCATGAGAAAGTAAACATTGTCAATACCGCAGACCGGAGGCGTCTGGGCAGCAAGTAAGTACTTCCTCTCCACTACTAGGCGAGGATCCCACAGGGCAACCGGGTGGTTCGCCGCTGGGGTAAACCTAGTACGGGCGCTAAATAAAAGTACCGCTGCTGACTGGCAGGGCCAATAGCATCCGCCTACCCTTTGCGGCGACCTGCTGCTGAAAAGCCCGCGGATGTCGCTATCCTGGTTCCCGCGAGCCAATCATGGATTATATGAAGTGGTCCGTGTACTTTTGTCACGTTCTGTCTGTCCGGTTCTGTATGGATGTATGGAGTTCCGACAGTTCGCGGTTTGTCGTAATTGTAATAAACCATCAGAATGTGGAATTACAATCATCATCAGCAGCAGCAGCATCATCATCAGGTGGGCAGGCACTAATTTAGGCGTTACGAGGTACCTTGCCTGGGTCAACCTGGTCAACCGCCTCGGAAGCTAAGACCTATTTCCTGAATAGTGCAGGTGTATCGTTAAACGGGGGGGATTACATCCTTTTTTTTTTTCTTGAATTTTGTTTTTATTCCTATTAATTTCTTTTCTTCCCACCCTAAATGTTTTGCAGATGTGATATAGAGGAAGTTTGGGTTACAACGGTATGCCAGCATGAAGTATGGCAGTCGCAAGTCAGGCACTTGGTAATATCTATCTACTACTACTACTTATCACTATCTATCCCTTTTGAAAAGTGAGACACTGCTTGGTATACTCGGGTAAATAGCCTGGTCGCCTCCTTCGGGAAAAGGTACCCAGTTGCTCTAGACTCCTGGTACTTACTAACACCTTGGAGAATATTTCCACAATGACGCCATGGATGATTTTCTGCTTCATCCGCAACAAACGCCAAAACTGAAGCTAGTATTCTCACCTCTGCCGGGTATAAAACTGTAAGAAACAAAAGGTGTAGACGGAAGGTTGAGAACCTGGTTCAAATGCGCAAAGAAAAAAAAAAAAAAAAACGGAGACACCTTGAACTGAAGCGCCGAGTTCTTTAGTCTGCGACCCATCCGACGGCCATACTACTTGGGAGTTAAGTGGTCCCTTCATATAAAATCTGCGCCATTTCTGCAGGTGCAACAGCTCGAAGGATCCGTCTAGCTCCAACGTATATATCCAAACCCCAGTCATACTTCCGTTGCGTCTCCTAATTACTACTAGTAGACTCCTGACACCAAGGAGCTCGTTCCTCTCAAGCTTGACAGGGGGGAGGGAGTCGGGGAAGGATGTCTTCCTGTTCGCTCAATCATCGCCCCCAAGATCTGCTAAAGGTACAGTGAGCATAGAACCCAGTGATCTAGAAAGGGAAAGAGCGATCATGATCATGCCAAATCATCAAGAATGGGCCAGTACTCGCCTTAATTTATCTGCCAGCACTGTATGATCAGGTTGCGGATGAAAAGGCTGCGGCTGCATTCTTTTCCTTCTTTTGCTGACATTTTTTTTTTTCTTTGGCTTGAGTTGGATTCGTGGATCTTCGGGACGGGACTTCCATACACGCGTCCGTGTGTTGATGAGTGGGCTCATGACCCGATGTGGCAAAGTTGGATCATAGCAAGGATCATAGGATGAGGCCTGAGCTCTCCCAAGCGAAACTTTCATTTCCATGACTGTGGCTTGGACGCTACCTTGATCAGGGGGGGAGGAATTGCCTCGTTTCCGAGAGAGAAAAAGGGATCACTCCAAGTCCTTCCCTGTTCATACATTGGATGCAATTCACTGCAGCCATTTCATTATTTCTCCGCCGTGAGGGTCGTCCAAACTCCCATTTATCAGGTTTCTTCCTGAGCATAATCTTGGGACGATATTCAACGACAGCTGGAACTTTCGGCCCGTCAAGTTGACGGTTCGGATCGGAGGTCCGCCCGTTTTCCCACCCAAAGTTCTGCCCGGGGATGCAAAAATACAACAAGAGCATAGGTACGGTATTTACGACCGGAGCCATTGTATGGACTATCTTCCTAGTACCTGTCCAAGCTTGCCGAGTCGGCCTGAGCACGACCACTGTGGAATATTATTAAGAAACTTAGTAGCTGGCATTGTTCCAGTCCTTACAGTTTAGAAAAATGATGGCTGCCTCCACGGGGGACTTAACATGAATAGGCACCGATACAGTCTGACAAGTGAGTGGGTTGGATCAATGTCCTTGTTCTTGTTACTCTAACCGTTTTTTCTTTCTGGCTGTCAGGGTTGGGATCGGTTCGTTTCAAGTATTGTATGTGCCTCACTAAACCGGCCACTGATCAACTTGGTTTCGCCCTCGTCGACCAGTGCATGGGATTCGCCACTAGCACTCTCGGAGAACAATACACTTTCTGTCTTGATCGGTGTCTCACCATCACTTGCTGCGAGCAAATACTCGGCCCATGGGGATCTTCATGATTGATGACATCAGAACAGCCACAGAGGACACGAACCGTGGGAGCACAGACTGCCTAGGGCTCTATACTTAAGTGATATAACTACATGAAGCCATGGCTAGTGGCTTTGCATACCTTACCTTTCTGTACTGGTACAACACCGTGGAAACAGCACCATTTTGCCATTATATTTCCGATCCACCAACTTTGGTGCAGGATAACGATTCAGGCTATTGGAGCCCCGGCGCTGCGCATTACCTTGGAAAATGAACCAGGACATTCAGCAAGGTGCGCCAGTTAGCCAAGGGCTGACAGAGGTCAGCTTAGGTACTTTCGCACTTACCGGGCAAACCTTCTACAACCTTGCACATAGTGCATGTGTCATCTGGTTCTGATGAGGCCTATTCTGTTTCTCTACTGTGACCCATAGAACAGAGCGAGCTGAGTCCTGCTGAGCACAGCTGAGGACGACAGAAACTCACTTTCGTGCTCTGGCGCATGCCAGCCAATGTCATTTGAGGATCGCCCATCCTCGTGGGAGGGATCCAGCCAGCCACATTGCACGGTATAGGATATGGCCCGATGAATGGTGGGAGAGATTGTGCTGTATTAATTTGTTGCCCCTGATGGCTCTCGTTCTTGGGGTTGGAGTTTCAATCACCAGCATTCGATCTCAGGTTTCACATGCCGTGTCCGCCAGCAGATCCAAAAGGCCATCCTCGCTTGGGTCAGCACTATCCGTACGTTGCTCAACATGGTGAGGCTAACCTAGTGGGCTCTGCGGAAGAGCCGAACTTTCTAATCCTTCCGTCCAGTATTGTAGGCATCTATGCTTCAACGCCTCGGCGTCCTGCTGGCTGTCGGGCACTCTCTTTGCAGCTGACATAGGATTTACTCAAAATGCTTCCATGCATCGGCACTAGAAGGCTAAGTCCAGTCGATCATCGCCATGCGTCGTCGTCCTGAGAATCAAGTTATCGACCACGACATATCACAACTGATGCCTGATTTTGTTTTTCCTTCGAGGACTAACTTCTTTAAGTTCTAACATATCGAAGCAGCCTGCCCACCAAACCCCCCTTCCTTGTCCCAAAATGCCCGTATCTGTGTTACTTGTGTAAAGATACGCGATACAGTATGATACTCCATCCTAGTAATTCCTGCCTATCAGTGTCGGGGAAATCCATACTAACCCGTTCAAATCCATACCAAAGCAAATTCCACCCATACCACCCTCTGATAAGTATAAGAGAAAAAGGAAATAAAAAAAGCGCAGATAGACAAGGAAAATAAAAGAAGCAATACCATTTCCCTCGCTGTCTCTTGTTTTCTCCCTCCGCCGGAAACTCACCCGGCCAAAAGTACCTACCTACCTACATGCAGTGATGAAATAACCCATACCTAT